TTTTTCTTTTTAACTTTTTTTGAAAGGATTAGAAAACTTTAAATCTTTCACATTACCTTCAATAATTAAGCGTGCAATTCCAATAAAGATGTATCCTTTATCTTTCTTTGTCTTCAAGTACCCTTTATCCCTCTTTCTTTTTCTTTTTCATACGTTGGACAAGCACTTGTTTTTCAACTTTGGATTTTTCACATCCAACCAATTCATTATTTCCGCATGTTCCCTACATTCGTTATATATATTTTTTTTATTAAACGCTAATTATGGTCTCTCAATTTTAAAGTTTATATAATTTTTATCTTTTAACTTATTTATAACTTTTTTAATCTTTTAACTATAAAAAATATTTTTTTTTTTTAGTTTTTCATTCATTAATCCATTATATCTATTTAAATCTATATATTTTTAGCCTCTAACTTCTAATATAAGTACTTTTTTGTCCCTCAACTTTAAATTGAGAGACTAAAAATATGCATATTTAAATAAATTTTAACAGATTAACTAATGAAAAGACTAAAAAATTATATTTTTCAAAGTCAAAGGATAAAAAAATACATAAAAAAGTTGAAGGATGAGAATTATGTAAAATTTTAAAGTTGAGAGACTAAAATTAAGATTTAACCTATTTGTTTTACTCAAATGATGTGCTTAATTGAGTACTATACATACAATTTGATTCAGAATGTTTTACCTTATACCTTTTGTGTAATAAAATTTGCTTTTTATTATATATGTATTTTTTAGTTTTGTTGTTAATTAATTCAGTTCTCGTTTTGAGATGAATTATATTAAAAAATTACTCAAAATATTTATAAAGAAGAAAGAATAAAAAATTTAAATTATACGCAACTGTTTTATTTGACGGTAATACAATTATAGTTTTCTTTTTTCTTTTTTTGTTAGAAACATGTCAATAGATTGAATCTTTTATAAGAAAGAAAGATGGGAAGAAAAAATGACGATTTCAATAGTAGTTATGTAGATTAAAAAATATATTTTTATCAATAGTTTACACACTTTCTTTATAGGCCTTCTTAATGCCTTATAATTTAGAAGGGAAAATATACATAATTAATTAACCCTAAATCTAAAATAGTGTTTCATAATGGTACTAGATGGATAGAAAATTACCGCGTAGCATGTTAATTAAAGTCATTTTGATTTTTTTAATTCATCTTGTTTTTTCTGTAGTTTTTATCCATGTATGGCGTGTGTAAGAGTTACTTTCACAGCGTGCCGTTGCATTAATTCAATTAAGTTTATGTCATGTCTCCAGTAGGTTCAAAAGGAATACACTACTAGAATTAGGGTCTTATTCGGTCAAGCATTTTGACCAAATAAGAAGTAATTCAGTTAAATTATTTGACCAAATTGTTAATCCGAATAACCTCTGAAGGAAATACTAGTTCGGACAAAATTCATCTTGACCGAAAATTTTGGATAATTTCGGTCAAAAAATTTGACCAAAAATATTATTGGGAAATCTATTATTAGACTATTTTGGTCAAAATATTTGATCGAAAATGTTATTAAAAAATATTTTATTTTAGACTATTTCGGTTAAATTTTTTGACCGAAATATTATTTTAAAATTAAAAAAAATTAATATATTTGTGTAATTATAGTATATATATAATTGCTTTTTTTTATATATAATTACAAAATACGTTTAATTAATAAATAAGAATCTATTTATTTTATCCAAATTCAAATATATCAAAATTTTAAATTGAATATTGTACAACAAAAATCAAAATTCTATAAAAATATTTAAATTTAAGCTAAATGGTGGAGAGTTAATTACTAACCTTTTTTTTTTTTTTTTAAGTTTCTCCATCCCTCAACACCAAAAAATAGTTAATCACAAATTACAAACTAAATGAGAAACTTAATGAAAAAGAAAAAAATTATAAAATTTTAACGAAATGTAAACAATAAAAAAAAGTACCAAATGAGATGCCTCCTTAAAATACCTTTAATTTCTACTATAAAATCCTGCAAAAAATAAAATTGATATCAATATTAATTGAAACAAACTTGTAAATTGTAAA